AGGTATCAAAAATAGATTGTCCACAGCTTTGGACAAGTCCAGAATGTGTGTAAGAGCATAGCTGGAGTTTGTTTACAGTGGTTACATGCAGGAACCAGGTCAGTATCTATCTTGGACAGTTTGTCTCACCTGCTCACTTTCTGCTCTGAATGCTGTGGTACTGTTAGCCACCTCTGCTCTCACTGCTTCAAGTTCACCTATAATAAAGGGTGCTGGAGAGCCCTCATGCCCTGAACGGACCCACGCAGCTGGGTATGTCATTGAGGATGACTGAAAGATGATGTGCTGTCTGTAGAGGATGTAGAAGAGGTGTACGTTATTGGATTTATGATAAAATTGTTTCTGCTTTTTGGAATCAGCAGATACCTTGGATATTGACAAATAAGGAAGGCATCGGCAGCAGTTTCGGTCATGTAAATCTGCCAGGCTTATGTGAAGGATTAATTCGTGCCTCGAGCTGTCGGACTCATATGCTTAATAAGCTCAACCACAAGCTGGACGCGACTTCTGAGAATCATAGGGCTCCTGGAACTCGCCAGCATGAAGGATTTCATCTTGGAGAAAGTTAAAATGAGCACGGACCGGGCGGAATGTCCTCTAATTCTGGCTGTTTGGATTCGCCATTGAGTGTATCAGCAGAACTGAAGACAGACAGAAAACAGAGTCTGGTGGCTCAAACAACTGTTGCTTAGCTGAATTTGGCCTCCCCGCTGGCCTTGGACAGGCCAACTTATCTCAAATTGCTCCTGGTGGATACATAAACTAGAAGCTTCTGCCTGCACACACACACCTCCCGAGGACATCTGTGGCCTTGTCAGAACCATGATGCTGATAGACACTGTACCATCTTATCAGAATTTGGGAACTTTCTGGAGTGTTTATGGACGACTCACTGCCTTTGTCGACCTCTATGCATAAATGTATATTATGATGTCATTGTATTTTGCTGCTTTATGTTGCAAGGTCTTTTTTGCATCTTTTATACTGTTTCCTGGCCAGGACATGGTCTGAGACATGATTGTTTTTTTGGCTTCCTCCGCCCTCGTGTTCTCTTTTTCTCATCTGCCTGTATGTTGTATGTAACAGATCTTTTTTGTAAATGAGTCTTTGCGGCTCAATGGGAACCAATCTGTTTAAATAAAGGTCTAATAATAAAAAATATATATGTTTTCTACACATGCACAAAGAAGAGTTAGTGACTACTTAACTGATATGAGTCTGATGAATTTCCAAATTTCCTCATAATGTAACATCATTATTGCGAACACAGCAGCGCTCAGGAGCTCGGTAGAACTTAGTTGATGTGAAGAAACGAGTTGCTGCACATCAACAGAGCATTTCAGCCACAGTGTTGGGAAATTTGTTATGGGTATCGTATGGATGAGGCTGTCCGTGCTGCTGTAGCTCGGTCTGTCAGTGCTGTGGTCTTGAGGTTGTAGGTTTGAGCCCAGGTTGTGTTAGGATGGGCATCTGGTGTTAAATAATCTTTAAATCTTTCATATGAGTTTGTCCACTGTGGTAACCTGTACATAAGTGAGCATCTGTACAAAACTTACTATGGAAATAGTTGCCTTGTCCAGCTGGCATGGCACAAGTCTGGGACAACCAAGAAATACCCAACCGGTATTTGATCACGTGTGATCCTCTCGGCCTCCCAGTTCTTCTTCTGGAAATGTCTACTAGCAACTCCACAGCTGTCATTGTTCCACAATTATACACGACTTTAATGCAGCTGTTTATGAACAGATATGTCATTGTCTGCACCTTGTGGACCAGAGAAATCATCACAGAGGAGTTATTCTCAATGATTTTGATGATTTGACATGGTTTTCTTCTCAGTGAGAATAAAGTTCCTCTAGGACATTTCACACACATTTTCTGTTCCGCACCTGTCTGCTCCCCACCTGTGCACTCACTGACATGTGTTTACATCTGCATGTAACTGAAATATAAGAAACTTTAGTTTACATTGGAGTGAGTTGTTTCGAGGCGTGTTATATGTTATATTGGATGAAGTTCAGTTTAGGGCTGCAACTAATGATTATTCCAATAATCGATTCATCGGCCGATTATTTTTCCAATTAATCGACGAATCGGCAAAAAAAACCCCACGTTTTAATTTCCATCTCTTTATTCCAAAATTGAACATTTGACTGACATAGCAATTTGCACAAAAAACAGGTTGCTATTTGACTATTCTGTTAGTAAAATATTGAATAATAAAAAATAAAAGTTAGTCAAATAGCTTAAAAAAATATATGTACACAAAAATATATACAAATGTATGCTTTATACCAGCAAAATATGTAGCTACTTTGTAAAATGTGTCCTTGAGGGAAGAGTGTAACCTGGATTAAAAGTGTGGAATATTGTAACCTGGATTGAAAGTGTGGATCATTGTAGTGAAGCCTTCGTCTTCAACCATCGACAGAGGCCTCGTGTCAGTGACGATCATGTTAAAGATGCTTTCAGTGAAGACAGCTGCTTGCTGTGGTGTGCATGATGTCTGTTCATCGTGAAGGCTGTCATTGTTTGTTGTTGTTGTTTTCTGGAAAGAGAGAGTAAATCTGTATTATAGCATAATTTACAGCAACTCAAGAAATGCCTTGTTTCACTTAAAGTGTTAGGTTCAGGCAAAAGTAGCTAAAAGAGCAATTAAACACACACACACACACACACACACACACACACACACACACACACACA